CTGATACTGTCAATACTTATCACTACTCTAAAATTAGTGTGATTACAAAGCATCTATTATTTTTTGTTTGTTTGAACAATGACTATTTATCTGTTAAAAAAAAAAATAAAAAAAGTCTGTATAAATCTAAAAAAGAACAATTTTTCCAATACTTTATAACTGTTAAAGCTGTAAACAGAACGACGAAAAATAACAGTACAACAACAAATCATTTTTCTATATTAACTATAGCAAAAAAAAAAAAAAACAAAAACTAAATATTGAATTTGTAATTTATTGTCAAAACTTTTTGCTCATCAATTATCGTTACTGTTTCAACATTATAAGCTTTTTTTCTTTCAAAAATGCAATGTAAAATTCAGCTTTTTAGTGAAAATTATAATTTTACTACATAATTATGGCTGCTAAACTAAAACTGAGTAAAAATTTTCCGGAAAAAAAAAGCATTGAATGCTTATTTTTTTTTTCTGCTTTTTTTCTTCATTTGCATTTAACAGTTCACAGCAACTGACTGCTTAATAATGGTTAAATGAAAAAACCTTAAAAAAACCTTTCAATTTTTTGCAAACAATTTTAATGTGTTAAATTAGCAGAAAAAATAGCAATTATCTAAAAAAATAAGTGGAAAATCAAAATAAAAAATTACCAGATGACACCTGGTTAAAAAAACAGTTTTTTTTACAATGTTTAATACTAAAAAGCAATGACATTTTAAAAGTTATTTGTATGGCAGAAAATAAATTTCTGTCAATTTTGAAAATATAACGGCAATAATAAACTGTTTGCGAAAAATCAGTTTATAAAATAGGATAAAGCAACAAAATTGACATTAATTTAGTAGTTCCAGTAACCTTTTCTGCAGCTATTTTTTTATCATTAGACTTGTTTCTTTTCTCTTTTTTCTTCTTTTCCTCCTTTTTCCCTTTTCCAAGTTTTCTCCTTCTTTTTTAGCCTCTCAAAAACTACACTTTTCCAAGTTTTAAAATCTCATAAACAACAGTAAAATTAGTGTATAGAAACAGCTCTGTTTGTTTATCATTTGCATAGTCAACTTCAGCTCTTCAAACAGATAACTATAATTATGATGTACAAATATGCAGTAGCAATACTACTGATAAAGTTGTAAGTCGGCAAAATGGAACTGATAGATTATCCAAAAATTTTTCATCATATCTGATATGGGCCATTAAACTGCTGTTTAATGCATTGCAGTTTTAAACGTTTAATTTTATCAAGCTTAATTTACCGACTAAGATGCATTTCTTGTGTCAGCAAACGTTTCCTCTAATTACATTCAATGATGCATACAATTGGTATGATGACGTTTAAAGTGTAAAAATACATTTGTAATTATATCTTTTCAAATTTTTGTCTTTTTTTTTTTTTTTGTAACCTTGTTTACAATAGTGAAACAATATCTCATCAGTTATCAGAAGAAGAAGAACAACAACAACAAAAAAAAAAACAAGACCAAATGTAAGCAACTTTTTTTTTTTTTTTTGATACCATAAAATTGGTTTATCAAACCGTAATCAACAGAACTGTATAAGATTGTTGCTGTCAAGTTTTTTACTCTTCTCCTTTTGGCTAATGTAAATGACACGGCAATTTTTTGTATGTCTACACAATTTGCAAAAGATGTAGGGTTTTTCTAAATCCAAACTTTACTTGTGTATCACTCATAAAAGACGGAGTATTAGTCCAAATAAAAACAGCAAAGTCTTGAAGGAGAACAGATTGTAAAACAAAGACATAACTCATCC